TTCTGTATTCGGATTAGCAAATTTGTATACTATTCTTATGATTCCTATAGTGTATATATACTGTGCGAAGTACGCAATTTTTATGTTGTTCATATCTGAAATACGGCGCTAGGTAGCCTACTGTATCCACAATGTAATTATCTTTTTCTTGGCTCGGTTTTTAAGAGGTTTAAGAAGTTTTACAACATTTTACAAAAAAAAATTGTGTTAAGAATAGTAACATAAGTAACTTTTTTTTTTTGCAACTGGGAGCTTGGAAGCCTGTTTCTATGGAATAAAATCGCTGTCAAAAATAATCGTACGTAATTCAAAGCATTTGTGTGTCATTTTAATTTACTCGTGCGTAATTTAAAAGTATTGTATGTAATTCTGTTTTTTGTCAGAGTTGGATTCCAAAATCTACGGCCACGACAGTTTACAGATACGAGATTTTGTGTGTTTGTTAGAGTACAACTCCAAAATGTACGACTATGACAGTTTACAGACACAACGCTTGTTTTCACAACAGCTCTGTTACACGCACGACATGCGAATTGCGACACGAAGTGCGGTGTGCGAAAGGACTGTCAAAAATACGTCATCATTGTCACAGGCATTACTATCCGAGGGAAGATGAATCGATTCCACAAAGTGCGCTTGCGCCCCGCCACCGTTTTAAACCACTGGCGCCAAAATGGCGGATCAGCAGCCAAGCGCTCACTCATCGTCTCAGGTAAGTGATTTTTTTTTTCTTTTTCTAATTCGGACATGTTTAAGGGTTAGTTATCACTAATGACAGAGAGGAGTAATATTACAGAGATAGTTTAACTATAGATTAGCTCTTAGTGTACATTTAGGTGTTTAAAGAATTAGAATACAGCTGTTTAGGTATGGAGGACCAAACCTGCAGAAATTAAAAACAAATAAATACACAAATAAATAAATAAATGTGTGTGTAAATAAATAAATACGCAAATAAATAAATAAATAAATGTGTGTATAAATACACGTAATCTTGTTTAAATACATATATAAATAATTAAATGTGTGATGAAAGTAGTCAAATAAATAAAATAAATTGGTGACCAAATGGAAAATGTTTAAGGAAATGCTAAACTCATCCTAACTGTTTTCTTTTAATCACTCATTTATTTCTGAATGTAGTTCCGCATTTATTTTTCCTCTGCACAACATGCTAATGAGAGGGTGTCAACCATGGACTTGCTCGGGTCTTGTGATAGCTGGGGGCGCGGCTTTCCCGCTGACAGGAGATGCATGGTGTAAATCCAGTATAGCCTAGTAAAGTCACTTTTGCCGTTCAACAGAGCAAGATACATAGAAAAACTGAGCCGTATTGTCCGTACAGTATCTGTGACTTTACAAACGACGCAATGGAATGGCCAGAGGTGTCATTTCCCGGCACTCGATATTCGCAAATCTAGGGACCGTCTCTAAAGTTACATACGACATTGGTATACACTTTTCTAACTTCAATAGCATTTGAGGAAAATGACTTACAGTAACACAACCAACTGTGAAGTGTTCATGTAGTTCTCAGTTATAATGCACACCTTTTAGATTTTTGATATTTATTGAAATAAACTGTAAATTCATATCTACACTGTAAAAAAAAAAACTTCCTGTAGAAATTACAGTTACAACAAATTGTTTTTTCGTAAAGAAAAAAACAGCAATATTTACATATGATTTGACAGTTTATTTTAATAAATATCAAAAATCTAAAAGGTGTGCATTATAACTGAGACCTACATGAACACTTCACAGTTGGTTGTGTTACTGTAAGTCATTTTCCTCAAATGCTATTGAGCTTTAAATTATGATATATATTTTGTGTTTGAGCCCATTCGGTAGTGAAATAAACAACATATTTATATATGATTTGACAGTTTATTTTAATAAATATCAAAAATCTAAAAGTAATTTTCCTCAAATGCTATTGAAGTTAGATAAGTGTATACCAATGTCGTATGTAACTTTAGAGACGGTCCCTAGATTTGCGAATATCAAATGGCGGGAAATGACACCTCTGGCCATTCCGTTGGGTCGTTTGTAAAGTCCCAGATACTGTACGGACAATACGGCTCAGTTTTTCTATGTATCTTGCTTTGTTGAACGGCAAAAGTGACTTTACTAGGCTATACTGGATTTACACCATGCATCTCCTGTCAGCGGGAAAGCCGCGCCCCCAGCTATCACAAGACCCGACCAAGTCCATGGTTGACACCCTCTCATTAGCATGTTGTGCAGAGGAAAAATAAATGCGGAACTACATTCAGAAATAAATGAGTGATTAAAAGAAAACAGTTAGGATGAGTTTAGCATTTCCTTAAACATTTTCCATTTGCCAACCAATTTATTTTATTTATTTGCCTATATTTCATCACACGTTTAATTATTTATATACGTATTTAAACAAGAATGTGTGTATTTATACACACATTTATTTATTTATTTGCGTATTTATTTATTTATACACACATTTATTTATTTATTTTTAATTTCTGCAGGTTTGGTCCTCCATAACAGATCATCCTTCAAAACTGTAAAAAATAAAAATAAAAAAAAACTTAAAACCAAGTGAAAGTAATAAACTTTTCATAAATTAAAAGCAAAATTTGCTTGAATAATATAATATTTAGCTAGCTAGTCTCTATATGAAAAAAATATATATATTTTAATGTTTTTATACAAAGTGACATGTCTGTCTGTATATTTGTATACTTAATTTTAAGTTTATTTAATTTTATTATATTAAAACTTCTTATATGGCAAACATAAAAATGAATAGAAAATATAACAGCTCATATAATTACAATTAAAGTTTTCTGAAGGTTATGCCCTTCTTTTCACTGACCATTTGTTAAAAAAAGAAGAAAAAACAATTCTTAAGTGTTTCTGACTCCAATTTGTATAAAATAAAAATACTGCAACAACAATCTGAAATCTTTTCTTCAGAGTGTAAAATTGAATGTTATGCTATGTAAAGGCAATCTACACCTGAATGCATGAGCATGAACAAACGCTAGGTACATAAACAAACCCAGGTTCACTACTGAATCCGTGTGCTTAACACTGCAATGAATTCAACCCTTCAATTAGCATTCCGTTCCTTTCTCTCTCTGTCCTCCTCCTCTCTTTTCCTCTTCTCTCGGCAGTTACATAATCTGCTGCAGAAGCTAAAAATGGACAGGTAAAGACAATTATAGCTCCACAATAGCTGCCTGACAGTGAGTCATCACGGTGTGTGTGTGTGTGTGTGTCTGTGCGAGTGCGCCACAACATTTGTCAGTATTCTGTTTGTAGCAGTTCAGTCATGCATATGCTGAACTTTTCTTTCCTGGTGGATTTGGTTCAACAGTTAATCATTTGATCCTTAACTAAATTACAAAAGGTGATTAATGGCAGTTTAGTGTTTACATATCTAAGAGAGCATTGCGGACTGACACAATGTGTTGCCATGGCGACAGGACCCAAGCTGAGGCGAGTCCCGAGGCTCTATAATGAAAACGTCTCATTCTGTGGCTTCTCCTTCCCCCTTATTATGCCGCTTTTGCCCTTTTTAGCAGACCCAAATAATACTCTAACTTCACGAGCAAAGGACACTAACATTTTTCCATGCATGAAGACAAATGATTGCTACAAAACACTACAGACACTACGCACACTCATACAGAACATTCAAAAATCATCCATCCATTCATCCATCTATACAGGGCTAGGTATGATGGTACTGTAGATACCACATGATGGAAGAAATGTGACAATTGCTAGAGATTCTGCTATAAGGGAGAATATGGTAGATGTGTCTGTGGTTAAGCAGTATCGCCCTATTAATCTAAAGTACCGTACATGCTGCAAACTTTTTGTCACTTGACTGTATATAGAAAGTGTCCATCATATACAGCTGACTGTGATTGAGAGATGCAAATGGGAAAAGTGAAAATGCATTTTTGCATGTCAAAGATATTTTTGTACTTGGCAGGTGAAATAAAATAAATATTTTTTTAAAGCAAATCTGCTCACCAAGGCTGTGTTTACTTGATCAGTATACAGTAAAATACAGTAAAAAATAGTAATATTGTGAAATATTATTACATTTTATGTGATTGTTATTACAAATTTTGTTATGTGTTGCTATAATTCATGTTATGGCAAAATACTCCGGTCTTCAGTGTCACATGATCCTTCAGAAATCATTCTAATATGCTGAATTGGTGCTCAAGAAACATTTCGTATTATTATCAATGTTGAAAAAAAGTTGTGCTGCTTCATTTTTTGATAAATATAATATTCAAAAGAACAGCATCTATTTGAAACAGAATCCTTGCTTTTTTATTATTATTAATATTCAGCAAGGATGCATTAAATTGACCAAAAGTGAGAGTGAAGACTTTTACATTGTTATATAGAATGCAGACCCCCTATTAATAAATATATATAAATAAAATGTAGACCTATTAACATTGTGAATTTACATTTTGGGATTTAATTTACAGCATAAATATATCAATATTGTGATGCTGTATATACCATAAACATGATTTTAAATCACTCCTTGCGACAACCATTCATGCATGAATACATCCAACCAAATCACATATTCACCAATTTATTCCTCCATTAACAATCAGTCAATCTACCTGTTCCATTATCACTCCAATCATCAATCACATCTACAGTATCCATCATTAATGTGGTCATCCATCAGTCAAACCTTTTCTTAATCACTAAATTCCTCCGTCTACAATCTATCCGTGCATATCTACAATGCATCCATCATCCAGTAGTCGTGGATGATGGATGCATTTCAGTGACAATCTATCCTTTCTTACTTTCAACCAAATAATTAATTCATCAATCCATTGCTCGATAACCCAATCTCTTATCTATTCATCCAACCATCTAACTGAATCATAATATTCATGAATGCATCCCTCCATCAATAATCTGTTTATCAGTCCATCCATCCATTCCCTGCCATCACTGTGTGTATGTCGTACCTGGGCTGGTGAGTAGAGTTTCCTGGTGCTGTTGGGCTCGTGGGCACCTGGGTGTGTGTTCGGGGAGTGAGGTGGAAGAGTAGAGCAGGGTCCAGCCCCTTGATGCCCCCCACTGCTCCTCTCTGCTCCAGACCCGCCTCCTCCGATGCAGCAGAGCGTTCCCTGGGCCAGCTCCAGTTCAATCTCCGCATCCATCTCTGCCTCCTCCTGGGCTTCTTTGTTGGAGTCGTCTAGGTGTTTCATCAGCACTGCCACGACCACATTGATGAGAACAAACTGGGCCGTGAGCACAAAGCTCACAAAGTACATCGGAGAGATGAATTGTAGGCTGGGATTACAGGTGTATTCGCCCGGCGGGCATTCTCGAAGAGTGTCCTACAGGAGTGAAGAGAAAGTTACAATAAAGATATTTGAACTTCTACAACAGTTAGTTATGTTCAATTCATTTGACTGGACTCAGCGCCGTCTTTTGGGGGGTGCAACTGGTGCGGTCGAACCGGGCCCACTGTTTGAGGGGGCCCCGCGGCGAACGGACCGAGGGGGACCACCCTACCCCCAGGAACGCGATCGTGAACGGAGCGAGGGGGAACCACTTTGTGTCTGATAGGTCAATAATAAAATTTTTATTTATTTATTTTTGTGGAACTTATTTAACAAAAATTTGGTCATGTGGTGAAAACTTGGTACCTAATTATGAGACATTACACTAGATTAGCTGCATTGTAATAAGTTGATTTCTTCACCAGCCTCTTTGTCATGTTTTCCAGAGGAAAAAAAATCTTTAAAATAAGATAAAAATTAAAATAAAATAAAAAATAAAAAAATTAATAAAAATTTTAAATATTTTTCATTCTTATTAAAATCATAAGCCTAACAAGTGGTGTTTACACTTAAATTGTTTGTTCAAATGGGGTAAGAAAAACTAATTTAATTAAATTCACATATTCTCTACCATCAAAGGAATAAATTACGTTTTAATATATGAAACAGAAAACTGTTTTTTTCTTCTATTTTATATATATATATATATATATATATATATAAAACACAATACAATACAAAAACCTATGTTAGCTCGTTTCCACCATGGGATTAAAAAAAAAAAACGTAATTGCTTGCAATTGCAAGTTTATATCTCACAATTTTGACATTTTTGTGAGATAAAATTGTGAGATACAAGTCGCAATTACCTTTAAAACATTTTTTAATCTCAATTTTAAATACAATTTATTAAAACTGTATTTAAAATGAATAAAAAAATGTAGCTTCAAATAATTCTGAAATTTTTACATTTTGTCTGAAATGTCAAACTCAAAATGTCCTTGTTTAAAAAACTGTAGTTTAACAGCTATTTGGTTATGCGCTGAACACGACACCCATTTCTGAAAATAATACTAATTACATCAATCAAACACTAGCCATTAAATGATAAAACCATTTATCATGGCCTCGACATCCTAGAGGCAGTAGATAACAGGTACTTAGTGTCTTCCCCTTACCCTTCTTATCATCTGCAGTTTGATTAACATGAGCTATAGGAACAACAAATCCCACAATGTCAATTTCATTCTAATTTACTTTGATATAACATAAACTCTCTCTTTTTTCCCCTCCAAAGCTGTCGTGACTGAGAGGCAGATGGGTGCAGGCTCTGGCAGTAATTTTGCTTGGCCACTCATGCGTGTGGTTGGGGTTTGGGGAGGTGGTGGCTTCTCTGCAGGTACGTTAGAACTCAGGTTGTAATTTACAGCTCTGATTATGGTGCTTTAGCTGCCAGGAAACCACGGCAAGCCTCCGTCAACCATAAAACTCATTGTGTGTGCGCCTAATGGGGGGAGAGCCTGTCACCCTCCATCAAACACACTCTCTGGTGTGTGCGGGGCGTTATGCATCGATATCACGCCAATGGGTTCTCATTTATTCAGGTACGCTTTACTACTACTGAATATGCTGAGCTGGTAGTTCCTCCATCATATACCTATCATATAAACGCCAGGTTGGGGGGAGAGGAGATGAAACGCGGCAGGTTGTCTTTACACAGGCCGATAAGAACTCATTGCTCAAAGACAAGTGTATTAGAGACAAGAAAGACACAGGGAGGATGAGAGAAACAATAATGAAAGAGGCTATGATGTAATACCGTATAAAGCAAAAGGAGGGATCGAGAAGATTGCAGAAAGATGGTGAGAAGAGACTGTACTATTGTAGATTTACAAGCTGCTACCTCAAAGGACTCTTCATGGCAACCTATCCTGGCTACTGCGTTGAACCATTAGAAATCATAAGTGCCTTGCTTGTGAATGTTTCTAAAGTGTCTAGTTATATCATCCACAAGCAATCTGTCAACTTCTTCTGTTGAGTATTCTGTGCTTAAGTGGGTACTATTCATAGATGTCACTTACGATGGTCACCTTTTGCTAGGGCTGATTTGGATCTCATCACTTTATGAAATGGCAGCTATTATTACTTTTGTAATGCGTTACTCCCAACACTGGTTATATCTAATACAGAAGAAGCAAGTTTTCACTTCATTCGGTTTTGTTTTGTGTGCTATAATGAATGCAGATCCAGCATCAGAATTTGTCATTTTTAACATTTTGCTGAGCAGTCGCTTCAGTTCAATTCAGTCCCAGAAAGTGACAACAGCAATGTTCTCTTTTCTTTTTTTTTTTTTTTTACGGTGGAATAAAACAAAATACAAAGAAATGTATTCCTGTTGCTGGTACACTATAAGCCTAATGCAATTATGGTTCTGTTTTTTATGTCTTGAACCCCTCATACTCAAATCTAAATCATATTTGGTTTTGAGCTGCTGATCCATGCATTTATCCACTAATCTACAAAATCCCAGCAACAACAGTGGCAGATGTAGGGATGAAGATATACATTAAATATGTCATCTCATTTGAGTTCTTGAATCGGGCAGCAAGAATAACTGTTCAGCTTATGGACATGAGCCTATGATGGTCAAATATTAGCCACTGAATGCGCCGAATAATTAATATTCATTAGCTATGCAATTCATATTCATTAGCTAATGCAATGCGATGGCGCCGCAGACGGCAGCCTCAGTGTTTGGCTCTCCAGTGTTTGTACTGTTTTTGTTAGTTTTTCCTGTTTTTTGTTTCTCAAACACGATCAGTTTTACCAGGGATGAGCTGCTGAACATTCGGCAGAACACACCACACAATCTTCTACCGGATTTCGTTTATTCGGACGTTTTGCTGAACGTTGTAGTTGGTGGAGCAGCTGCGCTGATCAAGCGACCTTGTATGTGCAAACATACTTGGCAATAAAGCTCTTTCTGATTCTGATTCTAAGTATTCGCCATTTCTGGTCATCTGTGTACCTAAACTAATGTTAAAAGGTTTGGGGTCAGTAAGATTTCTATAGTTATTTATTTATTTAAAATAAATGTATACTTTTATCAAGCAATGATTCATTAAATTGATTAAAAGTGACAGAAAATACATTTATAATGTTACAATTTTGTTTATTTCAAATAAATGCTGCTCTTTTGAATTTTCAATTCCTCAAACAATCCTGAAAAAAATGTACCACGGTTTCCACAAAAATATTAAGCAGCAAATCACCATATTAGAATAATTTCTGAAGGATCATGTGACACTGAAGACTGGAGTAATGATGCTGAAAATTCAGCTTTGCCATCATAGGAATAAATTACATTTTAAAATATATTAAAATAGAAAACATTTATTTTAAATTGTAGTAATATTTCAAAATATTAATGTATGTTTGATCATACAAATGCAGTTTTGGTGAGCAGAAGATTTCTTTTAAAAACCTTCAAACTAAATAAATACAAGTTTACTAACTGTCCCCCTCACTTTTTATAACACAGTGACGCTCATAGTACTATGGCTCTTTGTTCTGCTGTACCTTCATTATGCCGTTCCAGTTGTCACCAGTGGAGACCTGGAAGAGGGTGAGGAACGCCATGCCGAAGTTCTCAAAGGTGGCGTGCCGACTCATGCCCTCACATGGGTAGTCCTCGTTGCACACTGCAGGGAACAGATAGAGGCATAGAGAGAGTTTGTATTGTTGAATACTATGTTTTGTGAATGTTTATCACCTAAAAGTTTTGCCTCAATGTTACCTATGCAGTCATGCCAAATTCAGCTTTGAATTTAGAAGAACTGAACAGACAGAAAACCAGTGAGGTAGAGAGAGAAAGGGCTTGGAATGAAAATAAGCATCAAAAGGAGTAAAAGATGAGTAGTATGTGTTTACCCAGCTCTCCAAACAATTCCACCCCCAGTGCAGCATAAATGAAGAACAGCAGCATGAAGAGGAGGCCAAGATTCCCCACCTGAAAGACACTAATCAAGACTGAAACCAGCACACATGCACTCATCCATGACACAAAATTCAGGCAAGCATGCCATGATACATTTACACTGAATTATTTAGCAGACGCTTTTATCCAAAGCAAATAACAATTAAAAGGCAATAGCAGCACCACAATTTGGATTGAGCTAAAGTGCCCTAAATTCTGTAGTTTTGGACTAAATCTCTCTCATCTTGAATCTGTAAACGGGGCTGCCCTGTATTCAGTGCAAAATCCATTTTATTTTCTGTTTTATAGTTTACAGAAGATGGATCACAATTCCAAGTAAAAAAAAATAAAAATACATTTTCCTCACATTAACCCCACAGTGACTTAATGAAAAAAATACATTTTCCCTATTGTTTTATGTTTAAACCTTACTAAATTGTGTTATATTTATGCTTAAAACCAGAACAAAATATTTCCCAAAGGTGTAAAAAAAAAAACCTTAATTCAAGATATGTTCTCTCATTATTTTATGCAATTTTGCTTGTCATGTATATGTTTTATGTTTAAACCTTACTAAATTGTGTTATATTTATGCTTAAAACCAGAACAAAATATTTCCCAAAGGTGTAAAAAAAAAAAACCTTAATTCAAGATATGTTCTCTCATTATTTTATGCAATTTTGCTTGTCATGTATATACCAAGGATGGATTAACGCATGGGCCTACCGGGCACGTGCCCAGGGCACTAGACCACGCTCTTCCCGTAACGCGATTTCAACCGTGCCCCCTCAGATATTTGAGCCAAGTGGATTTCAAATGCACCTTTCAAAAGACAAAAAAATTAGCCGAATAATATTTTTTATATATTTGATGTGATCACACCGGTGTGATTAGAACGTTCAGTGCGGCACATCATCAGCTGCTAAATTCAAACCTGCGTTTGCGCTTTGGTTGGAGCTGAGCCAGAGACAGACGCGTTTTTAGAGCGCTGCTCATTACAACCAATCACACAAGATGCAATGGCCAATCAGAGGCGTTCAGATGAGTCATCGCTGAAACGCCAGTGTTTTGTTCAGTGCGCGCTGGCTGACTGAAAAGTGCAGATGTGCGTACAGATGCAAGTAAGATATTTATTTCATAGCGTAAACAGCTTTAGTGATTATAATGGGAGTTTTTGAAAGTGTTTGAACTCTGGCTAGACTGGAGTCAATGGTAATGTTCTTTGATAATGCAAATATTCTTTGCTCTCTTTCTATACAATGAAAGTGTTATAATTAGTAACTTACAATGTTTTTATTAAATTCACATTAAATACAAAGTCAGTCGTATTAAGAATATTTTATGACAAGACACCCATATCTGGTACAAGTAAAAAGACGGGTTTTATGCGTACTTATATACAGTGGGTACGGAAAGTATTCAGACCCCCTTAAA